TCTTTCTTTCTTTCTTTCTTTCTTTCTTTCTTTCTTTCTTTCTTTCTTTCTTTCTTTCTTTCTTTCTTTCTTCTTTCTTTCTTCTCTTTCTAAAAACTATAAAAATAGAATTCCAATCCAAGTGAAGATACAGTTAACAGATGGGGAGGGAGGAAGCAGAATGAGGGGGGAGAGAAAGTGGGGGTTTCTTTTAGATCTTAAATTTTCAGGTTAAACTTATTCAATCATGCAGTATGTGAGACTGAGGAAGCCACCGCTTCAGGGTGAAGACACACTTAGACACACCATATGGAGTGGACATTTTTGGCTTTTTTAACCAGAATTTGTTGAGGAACTGGTGATACTGTAGGATTTGCACAATACAATGGTTTGTTCACACACCATGCTACTGCCAAACCAAACAAACTGTTGCATGGTGCAAGGTCAGTATGTGGCAATGGAATATGTGAAAGCACCCCCTCCTCAAACCTTCTATCCTCCAAGACTTACCCAATTTAAAATCTTCACTTTTGTAGTTTGACAAATTTGTTGTATCCAATGGAACCTCCCTGAGAGTCAGTTCTTTCCTGGAAATACAAATACAAAATTATAATTGTATTGTTTTGATCGTTGCAGTATTACTATCAGCATAGCATATCAGCAACCAGTTTTTCTCATGTATGTTTCCAATTACTGCTTCTATCAATTTATAGATACAAAGAACACAAGAGTGTGGACATTCTATACCGTTAATAGCAAAAGATATCTGAGTAGCACCCCAGAATTGGATGGCTACTAGAAGGCAGAAGATTATCAGATTTAATTATAGCTATTTTGAGAAAAGTTCTCTGGGATCACATTATATCTTTGAGCACAAGGAATATGAGTCTACTTACTCATCATATTTTTTCACATTGTATTGAAAACCTAAAAATAGAGTAAAGAACAGATATTAACACATATCCAGGAAGATCCTTGCCAGCACAGATAAATAAGAACAGCATAGTAAAGTCACACATTGGATTTTTTTAAATGGAAATAAACATGTTAGAGTTGAGATGATAAAAGGATGAAACTTCATTGAAGGATATACGTTCATGTTCAAATTAGGCCCCAGTGAAATGGGTATTTGATTTTTTTTTTCTTTTGCCACTGCTTGTGGCAACAGAAGATGTTTATTTGTCTCATTTGGCCTCATTTTTTGGCAATTGTCTCTTGGCAGCTGCCATTTTATCTTCCCAGCGTTGTCAGCCATTGTAATCTTTGGGGAGAAAAGGGTTACCCTCCTCAATGACAAACACGTGTTTTTTTT